TCTGTCTGTCTGTCTGTCTGTCTGTCTGTCTGTCTGTCTGTCTCATTTATACAGATTGGCCTGCAAGCTGGTCTCTTTCATGGTGGAAAGTCACTGTGTGAAAGTCAGAAGACTAGAGAAACGATCGTCAGTTCCGACGGTAGTTGCGAGTGGGAAGAACCGTTGAGGTTTGACATAAAAGTGCGAGATATACCGCGAATGGCTAGGCTGTGTTTTGTTCTGTATGAAATTAGCAAGACTGCGAAGGGGCTGAAGAGTCGTAGATTAGTCAAGGATACGAAGCAAGAGTTTTTTATAAATCCATTATGCTGGGCCAACACGACCATATACGACTTCAAATCGCAACTGAAAACGGGAGCGATGACACTTTATACGTGGACATACGCCGAGGATATGCAAAACGACGATCTGCTGCATCCTCTGGGTACGGTAGTGTCGAATCCTCATATAGACAGAGCGGCCGCCTTGATGTTGACGTTTCCAAAGTGAGTGCAACGCAGCTGCTTTTCCTATCCTAGCGTCTTTCTTTCTTTCTTTCTTTCTTTCTTTCTTTTTTTCTTTCTTTCTTTCTTTCCTTATCGTTTCTTTCCTATACGTACGTAATAAATAAATAAATAAATATATATATATATATATACACACACGCATCGTTCATTTCACTTTCCAGTTACGGGAAAGACAAATCCGTTCTTTATCCAACGCCGGAGAAAATGGTGGAATATGCGAGAAAGCTGCGAGAGTCATCGGCCGAACGGTCGATTCGAGAAGAAGAACAACCGGACAAAGAGTCCGACGTCGGCAAACTGCAGCAACTGGAGCAACTCCGATCGTTGGCAGACAGAGATCCGTTGCACGAGCTTCACGAGCAAGAGCGAAAGATCATGTGGACGTTGAGGCATCACTGTCTTCTCGAGATACCCACGTTGTTGGCCAAGTTGTTGCACTGCGTCGAGTGGAACGATCATAGGTGATGAAAATATTCGAAATATTCGAAATATTCGAAATATTCGAAATATTCGAACCGATAAGCGATATTTTAGGGTTATTTTAACATCGTCCATTTTCATAGAAAAAAGAAAACTACTTAAATCTACTTTCCGATTCTCGACGTATACAGGGAAGTAGCTGAAGCTACGGCGCTGGTGCAACAGTGGCCGAAATTACCCGTCGAAAAGGCACTCGAGTTGTTGGATTATGCTTACGCCGATCAGAATGTTCGAAGTTTCGCCGTGCGTTGTTTAATGGACGTCAGCGACGAAGATTTGAGCCTTTATCTATTGCAGTTGGTACAAGCGCTGAAACACGAGAATTACCTATCTTGCGATTTGACGGAGTTTTTGCTCAGACGCGCCCTCAACAATCGAAGGATCGGTCATTTCTTGTTCTGGCATCTTAGGTTCGTACATTTA